GAAGGTGGGGGGGGGGACAGGGGGGGGGGAGTGGGCAGCTACTGCCTTTCTTTTCCCATCCCTTTCCAATTAATCTGACTTTCAAATACCCCTCCTCAGGATTTTAGCTACATGTTTTCTTCTTTCCGCTGACTGAAAGATTCTTTGTTTCTGGAGCGAATTAATGCTGCTTCTGAATCAGCCAGCTGGTAGAGAGGAGAAACACTGCAAAGCACCAGAGTTGCCTGTTTCATCCATCTGGGTATAGAAAAGGGGAAATGGGAGGAGACAGGGAATGATACCATTAGAGAGGAGAGGGTTAGAGGGCTGAGGGAACACTTTAAAAGGACAAGAGCTTTCAGAGAAGCCCAGAACTCCACAGATGGACTTGCTCTTTAAACGGCGGGGTGGAAGAGAATGGGGGCGGGGGAGAGAAACAACTATTGCCTGGTTGTTTGGGTAATGGCATCCATGCTTTGTGCTAAGTTTTCCGCCACTCCAAGAGTTGCCTTAATGTCTAGAACTTAAGAGGGACAAGCTGGGCAGCTAGATGGGGAGTCCGTTGCTATAACCTCCAGCTGCCAAGTGCCTTGTGCTCTGAAGCTACTGTGTGATATGGAATAATGCAGAAAGTTCTGGACAAGAAATGTTCTGTAAAAGGGACTTCAAAGAAAGGTGTAAATAGGAATGACCAGGGGCCTCAGGTGGGATGTGAAACATCAGTTACAACAATCACTACAAGATGTTGACTTGCCCAGAGCAACAGATGGCTCGCTGCTTACCCCTGCCCCACTTGACAGTCTGATCATCTGTTCCCCTTGAGTTTGTTGTGTTCTGAATCAGGGACTTGAATGGAGGAAGTCAACATGTATCAATTGGCTTGGAGTGTTTGTTTCAACCCAAAGAAAAGATGAATGAGAGAGAGAGAGAATGATAAAACGGAGGTCAACTTGAGGTCCTATGCACCAGCTGTGATGTTCTGGCTGTGGAGATGCTGGCTAGAGGATGGAAATTATATGGAAGGGTCTGAAACTCAGAGAATGGGTTAGCTGAGAGAACTGGGGGAAAGATAACATGAGATGGCCAGCACCAAGGGATAATTATTATGGAGTCGCAGTGAAAAGGAGTTGGATGCATTTGGTATCTAAAAATTGAACAGGATGGTAAAGGAGAAGCAACAACTCCTGCAGCTGCTTCCATATGAGCACTAGGAGAGTGTGGGTAATGGGCAGGAAGAACTGATGGCAATGCTGCAGCGAAACAATCCATGAGTATGATTGCAGAGATAAAGATGAAGGAGGAGGGACATAGCTGTTCTTTCAGCAGTGACAGAAATGTAGGAGATCTCAGGCAGCCTTATCAGAGCTAGCCTGACCAAACCCAGGAGGCAGGAGGCAACACAACATGATAAGGTTTCAGTGAAAGTTACTCCTGTGCAAGGATGCCAGGTGGAGGTATCTGTTTTTTCAGCAGCAGTGCTTTCTTGGAGTGCAAGGGGCAGGAGAGACGGTAAAAGGGAATGCTGCTTTATGAAGCAAATAGCATATGCATACCTTCATTGTAAAGCTGCTGTGGTTTTTATAGATTTGTAGAGATCTTCTGTAGATTTGTAGAGAACTTTCTGCCTGAGCATAGCTTGGAAACAACTCAGGATTTGGACCCTGAGGAGGAATGTCGCTGCGAGCAGCAGGCTCTTATACCTCTGTCTCTGCTAAATTGCCCCCTGATTGGCAACTCTAGCTTCCTGCCCAAGCTGCACATGCAGCCCCTTCTAACTACAGAAGATGCAAATAAACAGCCCTTTGTGCAGTTGTGTGCAGACAACACCAGCTCTCCCTTCCAGCTGCTGCTCCAAATCCAGACTGTAGCGTTACCTCAGGACTCCCCACAAAACATCACTTTTTCTTTTTTTTACCTCCTTTCCTTCTAGTTCATGTCACAGAAATTAATCTTCCTGCATATTCACAACACTGTTCCTTCTCAGAACAGTCATACCCTTAAAGCTCCACATCCTTCTGTGTGCAGATCGCACCAACTGCAACAGACCAGGCAGCCTCCAGGTATGGTAACCAGGGATCTGGGTTTTTCATTTCCTGTGGAAAAACAGAAAAAAACACAGATTTTCCCTTTTAATCAACAAAAGCATGGATTTTTCATTTTAACGGAGAAATGTGGATTTTCCACTTTTGCAAAGAGCTCTCTGCAGGCTGGCAGAGTTCCAGCCTACAGGGGGCGGGGGAGCGGGATGAAGGCTGTCACGCAGGGGACGCCATGAGCACGTGTGTGCTCACACATGCACATGGCCACCAGGCAGCCTGGAGAGCAACTCCTGCAGGTCGGTCTGGGGAGACGAGGGGGACTGAGGCCCCCATAGGGAGGGAAGGAGTGAGTTGGGCAGGGCTGGGGCTGCTGCCCAGCTGGAGACTTGCATGGGGCTTGGGGACCAGGGCCAGAATGTGCAGCTGCAGGGCCCTGGCAGGGAGTGGGATGCATGAACAACACCTGCCCCAGTGGTTGGGGGGGCACAGCAGTGGCAGCGGGACCGTGGTGGTGGTAAGCAGGGGAGCTCTCACAGATGCCCCCGGCACTATCGGCGGTGGGGGGAGGTGGCGAGTGCTAAGTAGGGGTGGGCAACCACCTGCAGACCACCTACAGATGCCACTGTATGACTTTTTGTAGGGGGTACACTGCCATGGTCAGGGGGTGCACGTGCACCCACTATGCGTTGCTCCTGATGGGATGGAGCTGCAGGCAGCTCACCTGGAGGTTGACTGCTGGCTCCCTGCTGCTGCACGCGTTCCTGTGAGGTGGGCAGGGGGGGCACGACCCCCAGATTTGAGGTGGGACCAGGCTGCCTGATGCAGGCTTGGGGTCCCTGCCCTTCTGCCTTCCCCCCAGGGCCTCTGCAGCCCAGTGGGTGGGACCAGGCCAGAGCAGGGCCAGACAGGGAAGCTTCTTGCTGCTGCGAGCCCCGTGCTGCCCTGGCTAAGCTCTCCCAGCCCTCCCAGCAGCAGTGGGGGTGGCAGCACAGAGTTGTGCCCCTCATTGCTGCCGGGCAGGCAGGGGCACCTTGTCAGGGTAGTACAGAGCTTCCAGCAGCAGCAGTGAGTTTTGCTGTCTGGCCTTGCACTGTCCTACCACGCCGGATCCCACCCACTGGGCCATGGTGGCCCCAGGGTGAGGGCAGCAGGGTGGGGAGCCCAAGCCCACAGCAGGCAGCCCACCTTCGCCCGCACCATAGGCTCCACTCCAGCCATACCACCCATAGGGGAGGGGGAGTTGGGCTCCGAGCTCCACTCCACAGCAGCAGTTGCTGCCTCCCATGGATGGCAGCCAGGGCTTGGGTGCTGCTGCAAAGGGCAGGGGAGTGTAGACCTGGGTCCCTGGCCCCATAGCCCTGGCAGCTGGGGCCCCTCTCCAGCAGGGCTGAGGGGTTGGGGAGGCTGTGGCTGGGGAGTGAGGGAGACCAGCAAGGCTGGGGGGCTGTGGCTTGGGAGTGAAGGGCCTGGACCTGCATCCTGGTGAGTGAAGGAGGCAGGGTGAGCTCTGATTTCCCATGATAAAAAACCCAAAATCAAATACCAAAATGTATAGATACTTAGAATTTATTTTATTATAGTGACTGAGGGTCTGGTAGGCTTCCATATTGCCTTAAAATTGTAAATATATTGATAAAACATTGTATTCAATTGATACATATATATTAGTAGTATTTCATTTTCATCGTAGATTTTGGGAGTTTTCATCAGAATTTGTTATTTTTTTTATTAGAGAGTTTGTGATTTTTAAACAGACCAAACCATATTCCCTAATGATAACTTATATGGTTCTGGGCCAGTATTTTCCAAACATTGCAGCTACTACGAGTATCTTGTGCTTGTACTACAAGTATCTGGTTTGTCTTCCTGCCTACTCTGGGAAGGAGTACTCTCCATTTAGAGCCATGGTTCTCAACCTTGTTAGACTCAAGGGACCCCTAGGAAAAAGCCAGCTCTTAGCTTTCGCTTGTTTTTTTACCTACAGAAAAATACTGGCAATAGAGCACTTCTTCTGTTGCAAAGAACTCAGAAAGACCACAACAGGTCAGTCTGTCTATGGCACTCTGGATTCCTATTTGAAATCTCTGGGTTCATCTTGTGAATCATGTGTAGGTGTCTCCACACCATAGACTGCTAATATTGTAGGCATCCTGCAGCACCCTTAAAAGGCTCTCTCGGCACCCTGGTCAAGAATTACTGATTTAGAGGCTTGTTGGGGAGCAGTAAAAACACAAGAAGCTAGAACTCTTTCTAGGAGGCAGCTGGGTGGATGAGACAGAGTCTAAAGCTGGAGGTGTTTAGCAGCTGCTCTCCTACTTGGAGACAAGAGGCTAGTACTCAAAGGCTTTTATTTCTTGACTTTTTGTCCTTTTTTTCCTTTCTACCTATTACCTAGGAAAAGGAAATGGTGACATCTTTACTTGGTTTGGAATAGGTTGGTTTCCTGGTTCATACTCATCACTGTTTTTGTCCTGTGTCACCTTATTCATTCAAATGTCTTTGGTTTTTACAGACCCGCAAGGTGAAGCGGCAGAATGATGTCTGGGGGAGCTGGGGAGAATGGCATGAGTGCAGTCGGACTTGTGGTGGGGGCATTAGCTTTCGGCAACGACTTTGCCATTCACAAAGGTAAGTGGCAGTGTCCTGTAATATCACTGAGCTCCTTCCTCTTTGGTAGCTCAGAACAGCTTCCCAGTGTCTCTTGGGGATGAGAACTGTCACTCATATGCCATGAATATTCATGTTCTTTTATTACCTGCATGGAAATATTACTTCCTCTGTTACCCAAGAGTCATCCCTATTAAACAAGTCTCCTAAAACACTGTTTAAGTGTAATGGAATATACCGTGTAGGGAAAGGATGGTTTTGAAAAAAAGGTGTTTGGATTCAGATCTAGCATTCAGGCCAGACCCTCAGACCATTGCAGCTTCATTAACCTCACTGTAGCTTCACCAGTTTGCATGAGCTGAAAGTCTCAAATTAGATGATTTTTTTTTGTTAGGGTTTGGAGTATGGTTCAGAACATGGATTAAAGTTTGGATTTTTTTATCCCAAATTGCACTGACTTTTCTAGCATGGTCTCAGTCCAAGCACCATAGAACTTAAGTTGTCAGGTGTTCCTATGGGGTCCAAAAAGTAGCCCCTCTTCCATTTTCAATCTTGTCTACATCCAGAAACACAGCAATGTGTAGGGATCCAGAAGGACAAATCCAAGGTACCCCACATTCAAGGGGTGAGAAGTTCTTTAATTTTGTGGTTATGGGTATCACTAACAGAGATTGAATCACAGAAAGTAAAGGTTGGAAGGGACCCAGGAGGTCATCTAATCCAACCCCCTGCTCAAGGCAGGACCATCCCTGACTAGATCATCCCAGCCAAAGCTTTGTCTAGCTGGGTTTTGAAAACCCCCAAGGATGCAGCTTCTACCACCTCTCTGGGTAACCTGTTCCAGTGCTTTACTACCCTCCTAATGAGAAAATGCTTCCTGATATCTAACCTAAACTTCCCTTCCTGCAACTTGAGACCATTGCTTCTTATTCTGTCATCTGCCACCATTGAAAATAACCTAGCTCCATCCTCTTTCAAACCCCCCTTCAGGTAGTTGAAGACTGCTATTAAGTCTCCTCTTCTCTAGACTAAATAAATCCAGTTCACCCAGTCTTTCCTCAGAAGTGATGTGCCCCAGCCCCTTCACTATTTTTGTCACACTGCTGAACTCTCTCCAATTTGTTCACATCCCTTTTGTACTGGGGTGAGGGAGGGGAGCAACACTGAACACACTATTCCAGATGTGGCCTCACCAGTGCTGAATAGAGTAGAATAATTACTTTCTTTGACCTACTAGCAACACACCAACCAAAGCAGTCCAGTATGTTGTTAGCCTTCTTGGGAACTAGGGCACACCCCTGGCTCAGTTTCAGGTTATTGTCCACTGTAATCCCTAGGTCCTTTTCTGCAGAGCTGCTGCCCAGCCAGTCAGCCCCCAGCCTGTACTGGTGCATGGGATTGTTCCATCCTAAGTGCAGGACTTTGCACTTGTCCTTGCTGAATGAACCTCATGAGATTCATTTTGGCCCAATCCTTCAATTCATCTAGGTCACTCTGAATCCTAGTCCTATCCTCCAACATATCTACTGCTCCCCCCAGCTCGGTGTCATATGCAGACTTGCTGAGGGTGCACTCTATGCCATCTTCCAGTGCATTGATGAAGATATTGAACAAAACCGCCCCAGGACTGACCCCTGAGGCACTCCACTTGATATCTGCCAGCTAGACATTGAGCCATTGATTACTGCTCTCTGAGCCTGATGCTTCAGCCAGTTTTCTATCTACATTACAGTCCATTCATCCAGCCCGAACTTCCTTAGCTTGCCTGTGAGAATGTTATGGGAAACCATATCAAAATTAAGCTATATCCACTTGTCTCCCCACATCCACAGAGCCAGTCATCTCATCACAGAAGGCAATCAGGTTGGTCAGGCATGACTTGCCTTTGGTGAATCCATGCTGACTGTTCCTAATCACCCTTTTCTCTTCCAAGTGCTTAGAAATGGATTCCTTGAGGATCTGCTCCATGATTTTTCCAGGGACTGAGGTGAGGCTGACTGGTTTGTAGTTTCCTGGATCCTTATTTTTCCCTTTCTTAAATATGGGCACTATGTTTGCCCTTTTCCAATCACCTGAGAGCTCTCTTGATTGCCATGAATTTTCAATGATGGCCAGTGGCTCTGCAATTACATCAGCCAGCTCCCTCAGCACTCTCAGGTGCATCCCATCTGACTCCATAGACTTGTACACATCCAGCTTTTCTAAGTAGACCCTAACCTATTCTTTCACCACTGTTGGCTGCTTACCTCCTCTCCAGACTGTGCCACCCAGTGCAGTAGTCTGACAGTTGACCTTGCCTGTGAAGACGGAGGCAAAAAAGGCATTGAGCACTTCAGCCTTTCCTGCATCCTCTGTCACAAGGTTGCCTTCCCCATTCAGTAAGGGACCCACACTTTCCTTGATCCTCCTTTTGCTACCAACATACTTATAGAAACCCTTCTTGTTACCTGGGCCGGGCAGGACCGCCATGGGGGCTTCTCCCATGGCTCCTCCCACTGTGCCTGCATCTTCCTGGGTGGGGTGGATGGCAGGACAAGCTCATATGGCTGCCCTACCTGGCCCCAGCCTCCCAGCACTTTACAAGGAGGGCTGCGGGGCTGTGCCAGACTGTTCCGGGGGGGTGCCTCCAAAACATCTGAAACATTTCTGAAAAGTTTCAGATAGTTTTGTTTTGTTTTGGAGACACTTCAGAGCCTTCTGTTTCATTTTGAATTTGGTGTTTTGGGCACCAAAATGGGCTGAAACACCTCCGAAACAAAACAGCTGCTGAAATTTTGCACAGCTCTAGTCCCCAGTACTCTCCAAAAACTTCTGGGATTGCCTGCACATTGCTGTATCATCCTCCCACAGATGTCAGGGTGATTGAAGTCCCCCATTAGAACCAGGGCCTGTGATCAGGAAACATCCACTAGCTGTTTGAAGAAAGTCTTATCCACCACTTCCTCCTGTTCTGGTAGTCTATAGCAGACCCCTGCCAGGACATCACCCTTGTTGTTGTCCCTTCTAACCTTAACCTAGAGACTATCGACAGGCCTATCTCCAGTTCCATACTGTAGCTCTGAGGAATTGTATGGCTCTTTTACATAAAGGGCAGCTCCTTTTCCTCTTCTTCCTTGCCTATCCTTCCTGAACAGTTTGTACCTATCCATGACCATGCTCCAGTCATGCAAGCTCCCACCAAGTCTCTGTTATTCCAATCATGTCATAGCTTCGTGACTGTGCGAGGACTTCCAATTCTTCCTGCTCGTTTCCCAGGCTCCAAGCATTTGTGTATAGGCACCTGAGGTAACTAGCTGATTGCCCTGATTTCTCCGGAGGTATGAGAGCACCTCCCCTGTTGCCCCTTCCTGCTTGCTTTTCCTCCAGGTCTTCCACTTTCCCACCTACCTCAGGGCTTTGGTCTCCATCTCCTGGCGAACCTAGTTTGAAGCCTGCCTAGTTTGAAGCGAGCCTGTCTGTGAAGATGCTCTTCCCTCTCTTCGTCAGGTGGATCCCATCTCTTCCCAGCAGTCCTTCTTGGAACAACATCACATGGTTGAAGAAGCCAAATTCCTGCTGGCGGTACCACCTGCACAACCAGGTATTGATCTGCAGGATGCACCTGCTCCTGCCCAGGCCCTTTCTCTTGACTGGAAGGATTGATTAGAGCACGACCTCAGCCCCAGACCCCCTCACCCTTGCACCCAGAGCCCTGTAATCACTTTTGATACACTCAGGGTCTCCTCTGGCAGTATCATTGGTGCCCACATGGATGAGCAGCATGGGATAGTAGTCAGAGAGCCAACTGAGCTGTGGTAATCCATCCGTGACATCTTGGATCCAGGCTCTGGCAAGCAGCAGACCTCCCAAGACAACAGGTCAGGCTGGCGGATGGCTCCCTCTGTCCCCCACAGAAGGGAGTCTCCAACCACAATCACCTGTTGCTTCTTGGTGGTGGTTGTCTCAGTCCTACCCACCTGGGTGAGGCCCGTCTATCTTCCTCCACTGATGGAACATGCTCCTCCCTCTCTGCTGCCAGGGCTGCATATCTGTTCTCCAGATGAACCACTGCAGGTGGAGGTGAAGATCTCTGCTTGCTGCCAGAAGTCTCAAGGCTCCAGCTTCCACCCTCTTGGGTGTCCTTTTGTCTCATGTTTCTTCTCTCTGTGCTCACTGGGTACTCTGGGAGGCCATTCCTGCTTTCTTGGTGGGAGTGCTAAGATGAGCAGAAAGATCAGCAGGAGGGTAACAGTTGATCTTTTGAAACCCCACTTCTCCCTGTCTGATACTGAGCCAGGTGCCTCTCCCTGCCCTTTTTGGAGAAAGTCAGTAGCAGAGAATGAGAAGACAATTGCCACCTTTTCTTTGGCACATCTTACTTTTCCCAGTTATCATGTAAGTGTAAACAGCAAGGTAATATGCTATCTTCACCTGTGATCATGGCAGGAGAGTGCATGGAGAGATACCAGACACATAGGGCAGAAATATGATATCTGAGGCTGTCAGCTCAATAAGGGTAAGGAAATGTCTTAGTACTCATGGCAGCATGTAAAATGCTGCTTACGCTTTCACATTCACAATGCACCCTAGGAGATTCTTAGTAAGAAAGTCATTGAGGGTGCTATTTACAGGCTCCTCTTTATAAATACTTCATGTTCTTTCTCTCTCTTTCAGGACAGATGGTGGGTCCAGTTGCGTTGGACCATCGGCAAGCTACCGCTCATGCAACGTTCAGGTATGGTATCCAGTGTACTTTTTCCATCTCTTCCCCATTGCTTCCCCCCCTTGAGGACCCAAGTTATGTTCAGTGTCTCTGGAATTCCACACAGAGGAGTCTTCTACTGATATAATTGGTGAACAGTCTTCATCTGGAGTCCCTGTTAGGTTGCTGAGTCCAAGACAAGGATTTTTGCCAAGAAGCTCTAGGATAGCATGAGGAAAAGATTTAGGCTCCTAAATCTGATTCCAATGACTCTCAGAAAAATCTAGATTCTTGTGTGGGCATTGCACCCATTACAGACTTGGGAAACACTCAGAGTTTGATGTTCCTGGTTATAGGTTGATGGTATCTAGATCACTTCTGGCTGGGAAGAAGTCTCTAACTCTCTGCCATAAGACAAGGATGAAGTTAGGCTCACCTGGTGACACAGTCATGTGCTGTCCCACAGCAGAGCTGTGGTCAGGAGTGACTTTTTCAGGCTTCATAAAGGAGCTGGGAGGAGCACTCCTCAGTCAGATGGTCATCTTAACTTCTCCTCCCTCTGGGAGTCCTGTGTATCAGATGCCTGTACTCTTCTTTCTTTTCCCCCACAGAGCTGCCCTGAGGACTCCCGGGATTTCCGAGCAGAGCAGTGTGCTGAGTTTGATGGGGTGGAATTCCAAGGAAAGAGATACAAATGGCTTCCTTATTACGGCGGTAACAGATGCAGGGCTTTAATCTTGTTCTGTACCTTTTCACAATAGGTATTGGGGTATTAGCTTTTGACTTAAAGCAATGGTTCCCTAGGTGGGAAGACTGCAGGAGCCTCTGTCTAGAAAGAAAATCACAAAAGTATAACATCTCTATGGAAGGAGTCCTAGCTGTAGAGATTGTGATCCAGAGGGGTTCTTTCCTGGATTGGTTGGGATGGTTCCTCTTCCCACGCTGTTGCACAGGCTGGCTGGAACGGGTTGCAGCGAGGCACGGAAGTTCCAAGGAACAACAATTCTTCAGCCCCTTTGAACATCCGATAAAAAGTGTCTCGGGTTGTGTCACTCAAATGAAGTGCACCTCAGAAAATCTGCATGTGTGATTTTTCTAAGGTGACTCCATGAGCTGTTTCTAGAGGTAGGAACAGAAACCAAAGATCCTGGCTCCAAGCAACTTGCTCTAGCCACTAGACATATTGCTTTCCATAATCACTCAACCTGTTCTCAGGGCTTTTTTTAAAGCCATGCAGAAGAATTTTACTCCTTGATTGTGGAGATAGGTGGTTCGTAATGTTTTTTTGTCAACATTTGCACTCCAAAAATATACTCTGCATAAAGAACTCATTAATATTGATATTATCCATTTAAGATCTGATTACATTCAGGGGTCAGGCTCTTCTTGTATCTGTAAGGTATTACTAATGTCATGTGACATGTGCTGTGGTTTCTTTTCTGCCAGCCCCCAGTAAATGCGAGTTAAACTGCATTCCCAAGGGAGAGAACTTCTACTACCGGCACAAGGCAGCAGTGATTGATGGGACACCCTGTGAACCAGGCAAACAGGATGTTTGTGTCCAGGGAGTCTGCCAAGTGAGTGATCCACCCAGCTCTGTCCTATCCCATGAAGGAGGGAGGTGTCTGTCAGTTTTCCTAATGTTTCCCTTTGTCCCCTTCTGCCCCTCCCTAGCAATGCCCAGTTACCCACCAGTACCCTTCTTCCCTTGACGGACATCCTCCCTCTCTACTGCTCCTCATTTTATTTTAAACTGTTAACTGTGCTCTGACAGGCAGTTGGCTGTGATAACATGCTGGATTCTGCTAAGAAGGAGGACAAGTGCCTGCAGTGTGGAGGGGATGGCAAGGCCTGCTATGAAGTGAAGGGCACGTTTGATGTGCCTAACCTCCCCAAAGGTATAGCAGTTGGATTTTCTAGGCTGGTTCACTGGAATAGGCGGGTAAAATAAAGCCTAGGCTTGCCCTGACCCTTTGTGGAAATTGGTGGAGAGTTTGATTTGCTTTATTGGCGTGATTAGGGCTCTGTGTGCTCACCCAGATCACCCACACAGTATGATGCCATTTTGCTGCTTTAGAACTGGAAAGTGTACTGATCACCTCATGGTGGTCTTTATCTGGAGGGGCTCACTGCAAGCCTATGCACCTCTACCTCCACCCCATCTTTCACAGCTCTTGGTTTGTGTCAGTGCCGTGGGCCTTCACAACAGCAGAGCTTTATTGAACTGTCCTTAAGGGGCTGTCTCTTGGCACTGCACTTTGCAAAGGAGCCATGTTAACTGTCTACACCACCACCCTAAAGTGGTGGGAGACTGGGCAGGACAGGAGCCTCCTGCTTTTGACTGGCTCTGAATTATATCAAAATAATGATTGCAGTGAGCTGAATCTTTTATCGGGGGCATTTTAAATGGTCAAGGAGGTAAGCTCTATCAGGGTCTCTAAAGGAAACCTGGGCAAACCACTGACTCTATTGTTCCCAGGGTTCAGCTCTCAGATATGACTGCTCATGGGTGCACTGTATTCATGAAATCGATGGACCAGTCCACAAAGAGATCTGTGTGATGCTGTCCCAAAATAAATGAAACTGTAACAGCTGGATGAGACAGAGTGACCATCTCAGAATTGGTTTATTTAGCCAGTGGTGACACTGGGAGCATCTGTTGCCCAGAGGAGTGATCTCCCCCATCCTTGATCACTGTTTTTCCTCCCAATAAATTGAGTTTATTCACAAGCCCTTTCATTTCCTCCAGGTTACAATCAAATCTTCATCATCCCTGTGGGAGCCACGAGTATCCGCATTAAGGAAGTTGAACCTACCAGGAACTTTCTGGGTAAGACAGACATCATTGTGAGTTCAGTACTGCAACACCAGCTTGGACTCAAGTCACAAAAATCCAATCTGATTTTCACTCGCACCGAAGCTCAGGGGTGTTTTAGTTGAGGGCTTGGCTATGCTTTCTTGCAGGAGAAAGATCTGGGCGCAGACTTGGGATCTGAATCCTAGCTTGGCTAGTGAATACCCGTAGAGAATTAGGGCTATTTTGCTTCAGGTGCCTAAATGGCATGTGAATAGCTGCCGTTTTTGACACTTGCTCACAGTTCGGGACTCAATTTCACCCTGCCACAAGTGGGAGTGGCAGAGGGAGCCCTCCTGTGTTTTAGGCCAGTAACCTAGTGGTTAGGGCGCTTGCCTAGGGACCAGGAGACCCAATTTCTAGGTATTATGATGCAGGGTTTGAACCTACATCTCTTGCTTCTCTGCATAGTGCTCTAACCATTAGGATACTGACCCAGTATACTTTGCATTTAATGTTCTTTGGATAAATGTATAAACAGCCCTGGGAAAGTTTGTGCCCCATGAGAGCATGGCCCATGGCTGATAGACCCCAGTATTTTCTCCCATCCAGGGCAGCATCCCTCTTGCTGACCTGTGCACCCTCTGGCTTGTTTAATTCCTCCTGGCCATACCTATATCACCTTCTCTTTCCTGCTCAGTGGGCCAACTTCAAAAAAATGCTGGAGAAGGGTCTGGATGATGCCTAACCTGTGGCTTGGTGTTGGAGCACTGTGCTGGGAAATGGGTGATGCGGGTTCAAACAGTAGTCAGTCTATTGGGCTACAACACAAGGTCTTTCTCTATCTCTCTGGCATGCAGGTGCCTGCTTTTCTATGACTCCAAGTTCAGGACTTAGCTGGTCTTATGTCTTGTGCATGAGCCTGGGTGATTCTGTTTGACTGCTGAGCCAGTCTGTTAGATGGATACTTGCATGTCAACCCAACAGTCACTCTCAGGAAGGTTGTGGTATGTCTGCAAAGAAGCTGGGTTTTAAGTGATGGAGCCAAGGAGCTGTGTGGGTTGCTAATGCCCTAGCAAATAATAAGAACAAAGAACAGTTAAGCCATATCACAGGTGACATCTGATTGGAATGCTGCCAGCATGTTGTGTGGAGGAGGTAATGGGACTTTCCAGGCCATCCATTCCCCACCTCCTATTCTGTGTCCCTTGGGTTTGTGCAGCCATCAAGAATGCACAGGGCGAATACTATCTGAATGGGCACTGGACGATTGACTTCAGCCGAGCACTGCACATTGCCAGCACAGTTGTGCATTATGATCGAGGCTCTGAAGGAGACCTGGCCCCTGAGCTCCTCTATGCCAGGGGCCCCACCAGTGAACCCTTAGTCATTGAGGTAAGCAGCTGGGTTTACCCTTGGCTGATGTTGCCATGCCACTGGTGCTGCAGATGGTCATTTGCAGAGATGACATGTTTGGTCTCTGAAGGATAATTTCAGTGGGTGACAGGGAGCCGATATGGCTGTGCTGAGCCCATGTAAGCAGGGATTCCAGCAGGGGTCTCTCTCATAATCTGTGGGCCCCCAAGAACAATGAGGTCCCCAGCTGCATGCGGAGGAGCTGTCAAGCCAAATTCACACCATTTTTCTCCTCGGGTTGCCCTCTGGTCCTGTTGCCTAAAAAGGACAGAGCAGGGGGCGACCTGGTTGTGGCTTACCTCTACCCTGTCATGAAGCCTGAGAAGAGAGCAAAGGAAGCTCATGAGCGAAGATCTAGTTCAGAGTTGGGAGGTGGAGGGGAAGTTGAGTGATTATTTGTTACCACTGTGCATCAGGATCCTTTAGGTCAGAGAAAGATGCATATTTTCCCCTCCCTGGGAGAAAGAGGTAGCTCTCAAGACCTGGTGGGGAAGGCAGGGAGGAATCATGCCACAGACAATACGTGATCCCTGAATGCAGGGGAACAGGGGACTGGGGATCTGCCTTCCTTGGATCCTTAGCTAAGGATAGGGAAGCATTGGCAAGAGGGCTGGAGGAAATGTTCTTTATGTTCTGACTCTATTTCTTTGACCCTTTTTTTTTCTCAGCTTATCAGCCAGGAGACAAACCGAGGAGTGCAGTATGAGTACTACCTGCCCTGGTATGGACAAAACACAGGTTACAGCTGGAGCTATGGCTCTTGGAGTGAATGCAGCTCTGAGTGTGGAGGAGGTAAGGGGCACAGAGTTTGGGAAGAAATGCCATCATCTGTTGTAGGCAGTGACCCATGCTTGTGTACTACCCAAAAGGGAAGATGCTACATGCTGCCATCTGAGGAGAGCTCTGCAGACCCTTCCTGAGCCTGTCCCACCAGGAGATGAAGGGCCATGGACCTCTAAAGCAGGCTGTGAAGGCTCTGTGAAATGGAGACCTGTCCAGGGTTCTTTGTGGGCTTATTCACTACTCTGCTCTCCAGAGCCTGGTCTGGCTTGGTTTTCTATGTCCTCAGTGATGGAACTTCCATAGCTTCACTTCTCAAAGCTGTTTCCCAGCCTAGAGACTTTTTCCACTCAGAATGCCTGCATTTTTCTTTGTTTGGTGTTAGCTCTTTACTCACTGTGTAACCCCCTCAAACCACCCAAATCATGTCCTCTCCAGGCCCACCCCCTTGCTGTCTTGCCTTATGTGATGGAGCCTGCTATCATTTGGGGACATAGAAGATCTTTATTCCTTCCAGTCGGAGAAGCTGCCAGAGTCCCTGTGCAGGCATGCCATGTTCAGTAAACAAACTCAGTCACCAGCAAAGCAGTGGATTTGATAGGAAAACCAGTTCTACGGTGTGGAAAACCCTCTCTGTGCTGGTGGCCACTGCTGCCCTTTCTAGCCTGTGATGTGAGTAAGAGGGTGCCTCTATAGGAACTGGCATTTCTTTCTCCTACTGCTATAATCTTGTAAGAAGCATGCAGGACTGCCTGTTTTTCCCCCAAGGGCTGGTCTCCCTTCATCCTTCTGCAGACCCAACCTTCTGGGCCTGACCTACAGCACTGCAATTGTAACAAGTCCACATGTGGTAGACAGGATACTGGCTAGATGAACCATTGGTCTGATCCACCATGGGATTTCTTATGTTCTTACATGCGGCAGACAACAAGCATAATAGTTACCAGATGAACTGTGTGGTATGATACAGCCCTGAGCAGCCAAGGGTAAACTAGAATCTTGTTCTACAGCTTCCAAACACAGATCACGACCACTTCCATCAAAAGAAAATTCCTCTTGGTTGGCACTGTTGGTTGGTTAGTTGGTCGCGCTCAGCTTTCTTGTGGGCTCAGACACTACTGGGGAACATGCCTGCTACAAGAATCCTGGGTTTGCACTGGCTGTGTTTCATTCACCTGCATCCTGTAGGTGAGGTCAGGGCTCCACTCTACCCCAGAAATGGGCCATTGCCAAAGCCATTGCATTTTAATCCCTTTTATGGATGAGCTGCCTTGACCAGGATACTCTGGTGCTTTTCTCCTTCAGGTTTCCAGTCACGCTTGGTGTTTTGTACCATAGACAATGAAGTTTATCCAGACTACATGTGCAGGGATAAACCAAAGCCAGTCAATAACCGGACGTGTGGTCATCAGAACTGTCCACAGACAAAGCGGTGAGACTTCTCACCTCTCTTTCACTTCTTCTTTATTATGGGTTTTGAAAGTTAAAAAGAAGAGTGCTGCTCCCCTCTAGCTTCCACCACTTCCACCTCTATCTAGAGCTCTCAGATGAAACATTGGAAACAGGTTTCCAGTGTACTAAGGGGAGGTGATACCTGAGCTGTGACTGGCAGAGCAGGGGGCAATGGGGAATGAAGCCTTAGTGACTTTTGAACATGGGACTTAAACAGACAAGTCACTTGAGCACTTCTGGAATGTTTTACAAAGGATGTGGGAATGAATTCCCGACTACACAAGGAATTGACATGTCCAAGTTATTGCCCTGAACAAGGGATCTCCCTTTCCCATCCTGAGGTTACTAAGGTTATTATCATAGCTCAAGTGTGGGTAAGGAGAAAGATTCACTTAATTGTTTGTTGTGTGTTTCATTTGGAGCTGCACCAGGGTTGGAGTTGGGCATAACCCTCTGTATGTCATCAGTGCAGCCATGCTGTCTTGGCCCTTTCTGAATGGACTGAGCCCTGCAGTTTTTTCTCCTCTGGGACTTTTTCAGGTTTTTTCCAATTGCCTCAAACTTGGCTACCACATCTATTAGCTTGGGAGAACATGGTCCTATGTGGGTCATCTCACTGCAGGCCCAGGGGGATTGGAGGAGGTCTGTTGGGATGCCAATGGATAGAGGGTGATCAGAGGCCTGGGAATATTTCTAAAATACATGGTAATCTGTAGCTCCAGATTTCTGTATGGTGCTTAAAGTCCTTTAAATGCTATGTTCTGTATATAAAGGATTTCTTACGTCTATCTGCCGGGAGTGTGGAAAAACAATTGGAGATCTCGGAAGAGAAGGTAACAAAAAGGAGAGAGAGAAATTATAGAAAGCGCAGTTTCAGCTGCTCCCTCTCCATCTAGCAAATCTAGCTGCCTCTTGAGCCCAGTGGGTCGCTTTCATCCTTGGTGATGGTTTAGGATGATGCTTTCCTTTTGACTCTTACCCTCACAATTGAAGGTGGAGGGTCTTCACTACTGGAAAAGGGGGGGCAGCTTTGCTTAGGCAGCTGTGAGTGCTATTGCTAACTTTGCTCCTCCATGTGGTTGCCATAGAGGGTTCTTTGCATCTTTGGGTATCCTGTCCTGATATAGATGTTACTGTCTCTCTTGGATAAGACGGACTGCTTTGGAAGAGTCTGCTTAATTCATCAAGATGATAAAAAACAAAGAAAAAAATGCAGTAGGTTTGGTTATTTAAAATGGATCAGAATTCCAGACTGATTTTGCTGCAGCCTCAGAAGATCTCCTCCTCATGGCATGGGCTCCAATGCTGGCATAATAGTGAACAAGTGTAGTGATTAATGTGACCCCACAGATGTTCACCATCATTACTTAGACACAAAAGAACAAAACATTGCCACCTTAATTATTTTAGAAAGACTTCACCTTTTGTTGCCCTCTACTGTCAGTAGGTTGGCCTTGGGCATCTTCTTTCATGACATCACCCTCACAGGTTGCCTTGGCTTGCAGATGATCTGAGATGAATGAAGTGAGGCAGAAGGTATCTTTGAATGTCAGAGGCAAAAACTGGCTAAATATTGTAAAGACCTTTTAAAATCTCATGTTATGGCTTTACAAGAGACAGAAAATGCATTTCTCACTCCCACTGCCACAGAATGTTGATCAGTGAACTTGTTTTCAGTGGTTGGCCTGATTAACTGGGTGGCCTCTAGTTGGAAGCTAATTCCTGTTGTAGGGTAACTTTTAATTATTTTGCAGTTGCTATTTAAATTTGGGCTGAACTATCTGCATCTGCAGTAGGAGAGAAGTATATCAGTGGGGAGGGGTGGGGGAAGGGATTAAATGCAAAGTCTTGCCTTCTTCAAGTTTCAGCTTGTGATACTCACTGGGGTGCTGGAGGTGTTGGTTGAGCTTCCAGCCACAATCTGTGACTTAGATCCATGTCTGCCTTTTCTGCTGAGGGCCACTGGGGAAGTACTAGGTCCCTTATGGGTAAGGATGGTCAATGCCTCCTTTAAAGAAAGCAAGTTACCATCTCCTCTGAAAGATGCCTGTAACCCTCACAAAGGAAACCATTCTTTGTTATGGACAATCTGTACATTTTATTGAGCCATGTTTTAATTTTGTTTTCTTTGTTGGGGGAGGGGTAAGAAAATTGATAGGATCTAGCATCACCTCTAGGTACCTCAGGCCCTTGTCAGCACAGTGGCAGGCTTGCATAAAGTACAGATAACATAGTTGTTGTGATGTTCAGTCCAGTATCCCAGGAATCAGAGATCCATGCTTGATCTATCCAGACCTTGAGCTACCATTGATGTTCCTGTAGTTGCAGGCAGAAATGTGATCTGCTTCTTCCTGATGGAGGGTATGCAGAGGGCTGTATTGGGGAGAATTATTAAGAGATCTGGATGGCATTCTTGTATTCATTTTAGTTAATTTGTTGGCAGTAGAGATAACCCACTAGGTGACCAGCCACCCCTGACCCGCAGGAAGGGGATCCATAGATCACACCCAAGAATGAGCATAATAGAGTTTTGAGGTAGAATGACCTGTTGGTTTGCTGATATGGTAATTTTGCCTGTGGCTGGAGTTGGTTAGATGGCCAGTTTGGCTGGTAGTTTTTCTTCTATTGCTCAGTTCTGTATACCATGTTTAAAAAGGAGGTCTATGGCTACAGAGTACTGCTTCTTTTTATTTCTTTTTGGAACTAATAAAAAGCTGAGGCTCCAGTAACACTTGAAGAGGTTTTTCCACAGCCAGAGAACCAAGTTCTTTGAAGTTAGGGACTTGTCCTACAAAGAACAAACCATGCTGCCCCATTTCCCCAGTACTCTGTGCCACAGCTGCTTGCGTTTAAACTCATCCATATCTTTGCTCCAGCGCCTTTTGAGTTTCCACCTCTGATAATGTAAAGGCAGACAGCTCCACCCAGATTGCTGCAGAGAAATTCATCTTGCATGAAGTCATTTCCACAGCTGCCTTCCCTGACTCACAGATGATGTGATATCTTCAATTACCACCATCACTGTTTTCTCTTTGGGAGAGAGACAAAAAAATGCAACCTTCTGATGCCAGACCATGTGACAGTTCCTGTGATGGCTTCCTTTCCTGCTATCACTGGTGTGACAGCACAAAAGTAGATTTTTCTGTAACATTGAATTAGGAATAGAGCACTAACACTGCCCCACTGTGCCCCAGCTGTGATCTTGCAAGCCCTACTTATTAGACCTTCCTTGCTTGTTCTTTTGGTTTGCTGACAGCTTTTCTGTTACCCGCAGCTGGAAAACTGGGGAGTGGGGACCCTGCTCGGCCACCTGTGGAGGGGGCCTGCAGACCCGTTCGATTTACTGCACATCACATGATGAAAGAAGCTTCGAGGAAGTGGTGGATGATGGGGAGTGTGCAGCTTTAACACAGCGCCCCCGGGCCATGCAGTCCTGCAGTGTGCAGCAGTGTGCAGCATGGAGCACAGGGCCCTGGTCTGAGGTGAGGTCACATACTAGGTACATGTGTGAGGGCAGCAAACACCATCTTGGCCAACAGCTGAACTAGGGACCTCAGGAGCTAAAAGCAAGGGGTGCCAAAGCTCAGAACCCAGGCTCTTTCTTTTCTTCTGTGACGGGCTTGTGTCCTCTGTAGACTGAGTACAGAGAGGGACCTATAGCATGTGTCTGATATGAACAGAGGTCCAATTCTGTCTCAATCCCTGATTTCCAGTGGTCTTGTATTAGGCTGCCTATGAGGGCAGGGTCTAGTTGATTCAGAGAACTGAGTAGGGTTGTTCATACCTTGTGTTTCTGTTATGGGGCAGTGTTTGAAACATTTGTCCAACTGGCAGCCCTGCATACAATTTAAGTCCCAGAAACACAGAAGGTAAAGATGGAAGATGCCTATGAAGTAGGGGTGCACCGATAGAGATTTTTTGGGTCAATACTGATGGCTGATTTTTAGCAAGCCAAATCGGCTGATATTGATCTGATTCCGACATATAACCAGGCAGCTTGAAGAGTGGCGTCTGGCTGGTAAGTCTGTTGTCGGGGAAGGGGTGTGGGGGGGAGTAGATTGAGGCCCCCATGAAGGAAGGGAGTGGGGCAGGGGCAGACACTGTACAACTGGGGGGAGGCATGGGATGGAGCCGTGAGTGGCCTGTGCAGGGCGGGGGTGGCTCCCACCACTGCACACACCCCAGGAGGGCATGGGGGGGCATGTGCCCCCAGATCTGCATGTAGGGTGAGGGTGGGCTGCTGCTGTGCTCTGGGGCTGGGACAGCAACAGGCTTTTCCTGGCAGGGGGTAGAGGGGCTGGGCTGGACTGTGCTCAGGGTGGGTGGTGGTGGTGCTGGGAGGGGAGCCATGGGAAGGCTGCAGTCACTCCAAAATTCACC